TGTTTTCATTTTTATTTTAAAAAGATTTTCGTAACTTCATACGTACCTTCATATGATCCTCCTGATTAACATGACCCCATCTATCAATACTGTGCCATTACTTCGATTGATCAAGGTGATCTAGGCAGATACACAACTAACAACCAACGATTTTTTCTCTTTCTCTAATTATTTACCTTTTTAAGATTTTATGCCTATGAGTTATTAACCCTTGTTACTTAAGCTTAAATATTAGTGTTCATATGTCATGATCGTTATTTTTGATATTTCTTCAAAATACAGATCATACACACATATATGTACCAATTTATACACAACCGAGATGTACTTTTAGTGTGTAATAATGTTTGTGTTTATGAGAGATTCAGTAAAAGCTTACTGTTTCAAATTGATCTATATACAGGAGGAGAAAAAAAAAACACATTCATACGTGGAGATGTAGTTTTTGTGTTGCATTTCTACATTTTCAATGGTAAAACAACTTTCGTAAGTTCATACATTCTTTATTTTCCATAAAAATTAAGAATTTTAAGAAATGATTTTTCAGAAACATATAGATTCAAAATATGATCTTAATCAGATATCTAGATGTACATGGAATGCTAATCGACCATACCGTCTTCCTCTTTTAAACGTTACTTCGACTATGTCTTACAAACATCGTAAAGTGAGTACAATGCGATTTTCGATAGATGATTATACTGTTCTTCTTCAGAAGTTTTCATTGATACAAGTTATATCATGTGCAAATCACAGAACGTTTGACTAAAGTAGTTTACCGTTTTTTTTAATTAAAAAAAAATCTTTCTTTAATTTTTTTTTGTAGATATAATTTAATGTAATATGCAATATTGATATCAGATAATACATGATTTTTTTATTGTGGCTTTTTTGGTGTTATGGAGTGATTACAAACCTTGGATCACGTGATGATTTGCATAAGGCTACAAAGATTTTGCCGATCATGCAAGGATAGCCACATGCACTAAGACTGGTTATTATTCTTAAAGACGTCCAGAAAAACTAATCGCCTTTTTTAAACATTTCATAAATTTTCCTTTTTAATTGTCTCCACCCCGTTCTGACATTTTCTCTCCCTATGGAAATTTGATTTAAGTATTAGCTAAGGCTTGTTATCTAAGGAAGAGTACATATATTTATTGTCATAGTTATTACTTACAAAACATTTGCAAATACATAAATAAATAAGCAAGAAAAAATAGTCATGTTGCTTTGTAGTTATAAACTACTTTTTTTTATTTTTCAAAGAAAAGGGAGTTCGAATAAAAACATTTAGCTTCTAAATGATTACTTACTACATGTAAATATGGTTGCTCTGAAAATTCTTATATGATATTTTGAATTGTACCTATCCCAGTTTCAGTCACTCTGCTTTAAGCATGATGTTTTTGATGGAAACATCAACGTCTTCTGCACTTTGAAAGATCACACATTCCGTTTCAACGTTTTAGCAGCTACATTTGTCATCTGTTGACCTGGGAAACTTTCACATCTTGATTAATGTTCTTCTTTGATTTTTACAAACTTGATGACAGACAGATGTCTCACTAAAACACAATGTTGTATCTAAGCCATCGTGCAATTGTGTTCGCAATTGACTAATACTAAAAATACCTATTATGTATCGAAATTGAATAAATAACTTTGAATTGAAATAGTCAAAAAGGGTGTACCTGTATTATCAAAAGACATGTTTGTTCAGTGAATGCAATGCTTTATCAAATTTGATTCCATATCGTTTACTTCTTTACAGAGTCTAATATAGTAGTAGGTATTATATGTAATTACACAGTCATGATCCGTCAAGAAACAGATTTTTCCTGATCTTGAGAAGATTTTTTTACCAAAAAAATTCTATGTATTCCTAAATATAACTCTGAGACCAGATCTTCCAACAATCTATTGGAATTCCCAAAGGTACCAATTGCGCCCCGTTGTTAGCAGACCTATTTTTGTATTCATATGAAGCAGAATTTGTTTAGGGTCTTATACGTGAAAAGGGTCTTATACGTGAAAAGAAGAAAACACTTGCTGTGGCCTTCAACTCGACATTTAGATATATCGACGACGTATTGTCAATTAACAATGGTTATTTCCATTCGTACGTCGATACGACATATCCTGGTGAGCTTGAAATAAAAGATAACACAGAGTCTGACACATCTTTTCATATTTGGATATTTTACTAGAAAAAGACGTTAATGGTAATCTAACAACAAAGCTTTATGATAAACGTGATGACTTTAACTTTTCAATCGTCAGCTTCCCTTACGTACGCAGCAATATACCTTCATCACCTGCATACGGGGTTTATATCTCTCAGTTGATTCGATACGCAAGAGCATGCTCTACGTATGGACAATTTCTAAAACGAGGTAAGTCATTGACAAACAAGTTGATGAAACAAGAATATCAGCAGTCTAGTTTAAAGTTATCATTTCGTAAGTTCTATGGTCGATACAATGACCTTGTCAGCAAATACAATTTATCAATAAGTCAAATGCTGACTGACTTTTTTCATACTAATTGTTAGACCATTATTGACACACTGAATTGTCGACGGATTTTTCCGTTATTTCCCGATTATGACAAGGAGCGCGGAGGGTGGGACCGACCTGCAGGGGATGCTCATTCCTCCATGCCACCTGATCCCACCTCTGATGTTTTAGAGGTCCGTGTTTGCTCTGCTCCAAAATTTGTATTGTTTAATGGACTTTTGAGCTTGAATACTGTTCGTTATCTTCACACATTTCATTTGATCATCAATTATGGTCCCACCCTATCTCCATTCATATGGAGCAGGTGGTGTAAATTTATGTTTGTTAAAATCATGAACCCCGGGGTTAGGGTGGGGCCACAATGGACAATCAAAGTTTTACATAGGATCGTCCATTATGTCCCCACCCTACCCCAGGGGGTCATGATTTGAACAAATTTGAATCTGCACTACCTGAGGATGCTTCCACATACATGAGAATATGACTATTCAATCTTTGCTGTTCTTGAGAAGAAGATTTTTCTTATATATTCTATGTAAGACTTTGATCGTCCATTGTGGCCCAACCCTACACATGATTTGAACAAACATGAATCCGCACTACCTGAGGATGAATCCTTATGAGTTTCATTTTTCCTGGCCTAGTGATTCTTGAGAAGAAAAGCTTAAAAAGATGCCATTAATTTTTCACTAATTTGTAATTATCTCCCCTTCGAAGAGGACGTGGCCCTTCATTTGAACAAATTTGAATCCCTTTTATCCAAGGATACTCTGTTTCAAGTTTGTTTGAAATTGGCCCAGTGGTTCTGGAGAAGAAGATGAAATTGTGAAAAGTTAACGACGACGACAACGACCGGAATTTCTTAGCATCGCACGAGCTCTCGCATTTGTTGCACGATGTCTCGCATTCGTTGCATGAGTTTTAGTGGTCGCATCAAATCTCTTCAAAATAGTGGACATGCGCACTATTCAGACGCGACCAAATGCGATCCAAATTATCGCAATGCAACGCACGAACATTAGTACGAACGTCTTACAACGTTTTGTGTACTCGTCAGAGTGAAGCACGATTTTTAAAGGTCGTAAGATGAATCACAGCAGTGTTTTGCGACCATGAGACTGTTGCTCAACGTGTCTCATGTAATCTTGCAACGTTTTACTATCATTGCACGATTTATCAGCTTCAATTTGCCATGCAAATACTATATATATACACCATCTTTATTATATTTATATACCAATAAGATATCAAACCGCCTAAACACTTTCCTGTCATAATAATACAGTCAATAATTAATTACGCACATTCTAAACGATAACAATATTGGAAGAAATGAGAAAAATCACAGCACTGTGTCGGGTTCTCTAAATTTAGAATTGCGTGGCTGATGGGTGTTGCATTCGTACCATGGAACGCATGATCGCACGAGCGCCGCACGTCCAATCGCATTGGCGCACGTTCAATCGTTCGATCACCTGATCACTCGCGCGATCCTATCGCATTATCTTACAACACTCGCTTTCGTTGTATATCAGTCGCATATAGACTCAAGATATATCGCAAGATTTAATGCGTTTGAATCGCACAACGGTCGCTTTAGATCCTGCGAATTTCGTACGAACACTTTTTCATATGCGATTATTTCGGCAACAGCTTACGATCCGAATCAAATTTTTTTGGTCGCACGAATATTTTGTCGCGTCTACTCGTGCGCCAATTGTGAAAGGGCCTTAAGCCATGCACACAGTCCCACAGTTTCAAAACTAATACAACTAATGATTACTACGACATGCATGATGTCCTGCACTTAGTTGGCATTTCTCAAGAAAATTATTCTGTACAATACGAGATGGCAAAAACCGAATCACATACTAGTTGTTAAATGCGTGTTTCATCTTGTCGCTCTCAAAGTCGAATCGTTTTACGTAATTAAGATAAAAGGATAATTGATATTTATTTAAACTAATAATGCTTCAAGAAATTTTCTCTTACCCTAATACAAATGATATACAATTCTTTTGATTACAATTAACATTTTTCATAATCCTTGGAATATCATATACCCAGAAGTCTACGTATGATTGACGATAATTAAGTTTATAAGATGTATCCAAGGACTTTAATTGTTGGTACGGATGAGATGAATTCTGGTCATATGCAGGCCAATAAGGTAAGCCGGATTCATTTGGGTTTCTGTTTTTGTAAAACAAAAAAGTGATTAAATTAGGTATGTTCATAAATAGTGTTCAGTACACCACTTTCAAAATGAATAATTATGGTGAATAGTAAGATTTAAAAAACTCATACCCAGTTTTGGCAAAGTTTGTCCAATACTTCCTTATCAAATTTACAAGATCCCTTGCCCCATCCGTAAAGTTCATTACACTTTTCAGCGATTCATAAAAAAACATGTAATACACGTCGGTTCCATGAGCGGACCCTCTGTACCATGAAGGCATTGTAGAATGTGCGTCTGGAAGCTCATCGGAAAAGATATACTGATACGTTGTTGATCCCTGAATGCTGTGTGAATGATCTCTTAGCATGGATACCCCTGGCGCGATAAAGAAAGCGTCCGTATAAAAATGAAGAAGCTGAAGGCCCTGTTGTGCAATGCTATCATTAACCGAATATTTATCACACACTGCAGATTTCACTTCTGTACTATTCCTAAATAAAGTCCTTGTGATAGAATTAATAAATATATTGCACATTTCTTCTTTGGAAAAACCTTGGTTTATGTTGAGGTCTAAGTTATTTTTATACAGTGGGTAATAGCTCAGTACTAGAGAACCTTCATTATTGCAATTTCCAATCATCATATCCAGAGACTGGAAGAAGTTGAATTCTGAAGAAGCTTTATCTTTAAGTAGCAGAGAAGGTTCTTTTCGAAATAGTTCTCCATCCACAACAGGAGTAAATGGGAGGTAAGATAATGTTTTCAGTCCAATTTCCCGTCGATAAGATCTTGTTGCCTCTAACAACAATTTTGCATCGATTTGTCGTAAACATTGCACCATGGCGCGGTCGTTAGTTGATGACAAATTTTTCAAACAACCAACCTTTTCTGCGACTTTAGTGGTAGATATGAAAGTAAAATTAGACAACGCACGGTATGAGTTAGCGACTCCACTTTGAGCAATAACACGCTGGAAAAGCCCTCTATTTCTTGGAATCAAAGACAGTAAAGAAACACTATATCCACCAGCGGATTCTCCATAGATTGTAACAGATGCAGGGTTTCCACCATAATCTCTTATATTGTACCTTATCCAATCTAAAGCCATCATTTGGTCCCACAGACCCGCATTTCCTCTAGCATCCGGATCACTTGATGCAATAAATCCAAAAATACCCAAACGATAATTAACAGTGACCACTATCACATCTCCGGTTAATGCAAACATACTTGCATCATCAGTTGTTCCAGATCCCCCTATGTATCCGCCTCCATGTATCCAGACCATGACACTTTTGCTGTTTGTGTATGCAAGACTGTGTGGAACGTATATATTTAACTGCAGACAGTCCTCAGATGTCCCGTTGAAGTTTTTGGAAGGGCTTTGATAGCAAGCTGGACCTTTGATTGTGGCGTCAAGGATTCCATGCCATGACCCAAATGGTTGTGGTTTAGCAAACCTGAGTTGTCCAACTGGAGGTTTTCCAAATGGAATATTTGAAAACCTGTATAAGTTCCCTTTGCTCACACCTCCAATAGTAAAATTCTTTAACTGTATCCCAGATATATTCCCAAGTCTTGTCCTTAGGGTTATTTTCTCTTGCCCAGAGATATTTTTTACATTTATCAACGAAATGGTGATAAGAAAGAGAAATAAGCACTGGGACCACATCTGTAAAAAAAAAAAAAATTAGTACGTCATTCTGTAATTCGAGGCAAAATTTTGAAGGTCTAATATGACGAAAACACATTATGAAAATAAAAAAAGAAACGGTAACTTACTGGAAATACGTATATCCCGTATTTCAGTCTGTACACACTTATATAGCGAATGTCACATAAATTGTTACATATAGCATATTCTAATTAAAATCTGTTTCATTCAATACGATACATGTAATTTATCATTATAACAGTAACTTGATCTGAAGAGCCTAATCAAGTCGAGTTGACAGGCGCGGATCAGCAGATCAGAAGCGTCGAGTTTGATGTGATGATTCGCGCCTCTCAACGAGAGTGATAAGGTTCTTCGGATCTAGGTTACTGTTACACTGTATAATGATAAATTTATTATACAATCCACTATTAAAAGCTAAATATAATAAAATAAAGCTTTTGGGATCAATTATACGACTTTTTTAAAAATAGACAGAACACATTTTAAAGGAATGTTTGACCTTGAAGAAAAAGAACGTCATTCGTTTCAGAGAGGGATGATATGGATTCAGAAAACCACAGTGTGGAGATTTGGTGAGACACACCACACCATCACTTGATTGCATGAAATCAACAGTAAAACAGTGATACACAGTTGGGTATAATAAATTTCAATATGTAATTACCATGTTGAATCGTATATAGCATTACAATTTTTTACTTTGAGCGAAATATAAGGTTGTTCTTTGCAAGCGTTTATACTCAAAACAATTATTCAATATCCTACCTTTATCGCAAGTTCTTAATATCATGCATTTAAGATAAAGCAATGTTATTTTTGGACACTCTGTCCTTTACATTTGAAACACCATCAAGGACTATTAAAGTAAGAAAGGTGCAAAATTTTCAATGTTTTCATTAACAGTGCTCGACATCAGATGAAGTTGAGACAACCAGACAAAAGTAAACGAAAAATACCGAGTAAACGTCACAAGAAACGGTTCACATAAAATGGCTCTTATAATAGTATTCTCTCAAGGCCAGTAGAGATAACGCCTGTGTAAAGACGAATGATGACCCCCGTAGAGTGACTCATGGTCATTTCTCAACATCGAAAAATAACCACCGGTTGTATTATTCGACGTCAAAAAATTATCCTTTAACCTGTAGAAAAAGTGTCAACTTTAAAATCTGCTTACCCTACGCGAAGAAAACTGACCCCCGTAGAATAATGACTCCTTGTAGATTTTGTTAGAGATATACATGTATTTTTCTTGTTGGTTTTAAAGATTGAAAATTATAAATCAAAAGGCCCGTAGATCTGAATGCTCATCTGAGGTATACATAAAATGATGATACAGGGATGTTGGTCTCATTAATCTTTCGAGTAAAATGATCTGTGTTTTATGATAAATTGACAACATTAATCGACTTCAATCTACACATGTCGAAATGCTTCCATTTTGATTTTGACAAATGTATCATTGTTTTTATGAAGATTTACAAAAAAAACTCCCTAATATATTCCAGAGGAGAGATGGAATTGTTTATAATATCTATATACCGGTTAATCAAGTTGCGTTTGAGTCTATACGTTTTTAAGTCAATTAGCTTAAAAATGTACAAACATGTATTTTTCTCATAAAAATGCACAAAGAAGAAATATTAAATCTGTTCGAACAAATATGTAATTTGCTTAGTTTTCCAAGCATATATCCAGATCGTCCGAACAATTCCGATCAAAAACAATTTAATTTACATTCTTCTAAGTGCATTTGTCTACGCAAGTATCGTGTTCATCGGAACGAAGCACACACCTAAATCAAATTGCAAAAGCTTTTCACAATTTGAACGAGAAGAATTGTGTGGTGTTTTAGATACTTTTGGTACATTTTCATTAAAACCGAAAGAACAAGCATTAATTAACTATCCATCATATAAGGCAAAATAAAGTGGAGATGCAACCAATTTTAAGCTTAACTGCAAGTAAAATTTCCATAAAACCCCAGAAACCTCAAAGAAATGGAGTCAATAATAAACTTGATAATGCTGATATCCATATCTCATTCCTAAAGTGCAATTAATTCGTGTGCCTTATTCATGTACCAATTTTGATATTTTGGGTGCTCTCCTTTATCATAAAAATGAAAATCTTGCACAAAGAAGAAATATTAAATCTGTTCGAACAAATATGTAATTTGCTTAGTTTTCCAAGCATATATCCAGATCGTCCGAACAATTCCGATCAAAAACAATTTAATCTACATTCTTCTAAGTGCATTTGTCTACGCAAGTATCGTGTTCGTCAGAACGAAGAACACACCTGCCAGATCTATTACCTTATTTGTCAGAACATATATCAAATTCGTCACAACAATTATAATAATTATATTTTTTCTTTGCTTCAACGGCACTATTATATTATATTCTGTATTTATAAAAATTATGACTTTCATGGATGATTTTTTTAAATTTGTTAATGTTATTAAGAATCTAAATTGACAAAATGTACAAAATTACAAAACATAAAAAATTGATAAATAAAGGTATCAGCTAGCAAGGTCATTATAATGAACCAAAATTTTTCGGAATGCTGATTTTGGTTGAGACTGTTGAAAGCCCTGTAACTTCATCTTTTTTGTCAGTATCCTGCCTCTGTTTAAAAGTTGATCATACTCAGAGCATGCTTTAGCGTACTAAATAAGTTCGGAGACTAAACACCAAATGCAGGTGATTTTGGAATATTACTACATAAATACATGCAAGAAGTTGGAGAAGAAAAGCCGATTGGGAAATTATTCTATTTGTTAAATAGTTTAGTCTTTAGTTGGCAATAAGCGTCTATAATCAGTAAATTTGAAACGGATGATAAAGAAAGATTGTGATGACAGTTTTAACCTGTAGTCATTGTGGCGTATCTATTTTTATTGTGTGCTGAAAACACAATAGGTTAAATATAAAGATAACGAGCTGTAATCAAGCTCAAAAGTCCATTGGAATATTACATGGAAGCAGAGCAAACAAGTACCTTTAAGAGGGCTGGGTGGTTGTGGCCATTTTCAGACTATGTTGATCTCCTTTAAAAGAAGAGCTCCATATAAAGATATACAAAAATGATCAAATTTTAAAACTAAAATATATGAAATTTTTGTTTGCCAAATGATAGTTGACAGCTTAAGATATCATATCTAAAAAAATAAGTTATATCTGATGGTTAATTTGTTGAGCCCCCAGCCTCCTTAAAACATCAGAGGTGGGTTCAGGTGTCATCGAATAAGCATCCCCTGTCGACCGGTCACACTCGGCGTGTGCTCCTTGTCATGATAAGGCAAACGGAAAAATCCGTTGACAATTCAGTGTTCAAATGCTGGCCTAACAATTAGTATGAACGCATCGTATGAAAGTGTCGACGATAGAAAAGTTGAAGTCATCACGTTAATAGTAATGTTTTGTTGTTAGTTTCCCATTAGTATCTTTTTCATATAAAATATCCAAATAGGTGTAGTAGATCTAAACACATGTAATGCCGTTGAATTACATTTTAATTAATTGCGTGTTCTCCAGTTTTCGTCAAAAAAAACAAACAAACAAACAAACAAACGCGAGATAATTAAACGTTGAGACCAAAACCTTGTCATTAATCATCTATGAGATTGAATATTGTTTGTAATCTTCATATTTCATTCTCTTTTAAATTTGTATTTCTCTGTTGGGATAGGGGTCATTTTTCAAAGGGGGTCAATTTTTCATAGCTTGCACCTGTAGAAAGCTGACCCTTATGATTCTTTTTCTACAAGAAATACATTTTTCTACGGCTGGGGGATCATTTTTCAGCTCTTATACTTCCAATTTATGTAGAACTACGATTGAGATCTTCTTGCAGCAAAAATACATAGAATACGTCAGATGTTTTTCTAAATTCTACTTATAGTCATCAATGCTACAATATATTGAAATACTGTAGAGTATTATCGAGTAAGTTTATAAAAAATGTCCAAACATGACCATCACGTGCACTTCAATCCACCTTTATACTGATCCCACAATATGGGGTGTCATGAGTTTTGTCTAATCGTGAATTTTCTTTTACTAGAATTTTTATTGCATAAAATTTGAATGTATGAAATTGTTTTGGCTTATGGTTTTTTCTCTTTTATTGACATCGAACAAAAAGGGATTTTCAACGAATCTTAAATATTATCGGCAGAAAGGAATGGATAAAATTAGATCAGTGAATTCTGTACCCTAATCTTGCACCTGAACTAATGAGACATTGAAGACTTTCAGATTTCTCTCTCTCTCTCTCTCTCTCTCTCTCTCTCTGACCTTTTTATATAAAGACTTAAGTTTTTAAATTTTGTACTCACTTTTGAAAAATGGGTAAGAGAAGTCTGTTGCTAGTCATGATAATATTTTATGTAAATAACAACAAAACTATACAGTTATAGCATGTTGATGAGTTGATCCTAAATTTTAAATTTATTGCACCGACAAAGATACATGTAAAAGATTGGTACAATGACCTTATGGATTGACCAATATCAATTAACATGTTACAATTTCTTTACTATATTTTTTTGAATAACAAACATGTAATTACATCAATATTTTTATTTTCAATTATCTTATTTTATTTTATGCTGCATATTGTATCTTTCTTAATTTCCCTCTTTAATTTCATAAAAATTTTTGACTCCATATTGTTGACGAAAATCGAGTCCAAAGGGAATTATGATTCATGTTGAATCCACACATCACTGGGATCCTACAATATCAAAACAATCAACATGGCCTGCTTTTCCTGTTTTTTTTTTTCCAGTTCACATTCATTATGTAATTTGGAAGATATTTAGATTCTTGATTTCGGCCCAACCCCAATTTAAGGGCTTATAATTTTAAAGTAAAATCTGATCTACATTTTAGGAATCTTTTCCTTATTACGATTCAGGCCCGTAGCAAAGGTTTCAAAAGTGGGGGGGGGGGGCGCTCAACTTCCCAAAAGAATCTGACAAGCAA